CCCTTTGGGCAGCACATCCAGCCATCCACTGTGGGGGAAAAAATCTTGCTTTTGAACAAGATGTGTTGTCCTTCATGAGTGTGAGTTCAGTGTAGGGTCTCAGGTGTTAGGAGCAGGGTTTGAACCCTTTAGTTTGGACAGAGGTAAATGCTCTCTTTTGCTCTCCACAAGTAAAGCTGTCAGCAGCCTGGCAGGCCCCTGTCATAAGGCCTCTGCCTGAAGGGCCTCCTTCCCTTTCTCTGTCTGTCTGCCATGTCTGTGAAACCTCTCTTTGGAAAGAGACATGGTTTCTGCCTTACCCTTCTTGAGGAAGCAAGATGGGAAGTAGTTGGCTTGTGCTTTTCTAGAACCCTTCCATCAGAGAAGTGTTGTCCAAGCTCTCAGCTCATGCAGACTGAGAGACTTAACAGCAAACTGCTCTGACAGCCTTGCTGCCACCACAGGCAGTTCCTTACACAGACAACTTATCCAAGAGATCTGCCTTATGCCCAGATTCAAATGATGGATTAAGAAGCCACATATATATTCTCACAAAACATGAGGCTGCACGAAGAGGGATCTTTGAGTTTTGGAACTTGCACTACCAGCATTCCAGCACTCCACATTACCATCACTTCATGTGTGACTGCAGCTCAGCTCCCTAGCTATTCTGAACTAAACATCATCCTCCTTCCTCTGTCCCTCACAGTGACCATCATTCTTGTGTGAACAGGCAGTGAGGCAGCACAGGGAGTGGAGCTGGATTGAACCAGCCAGTATAAAAGCACTTTTATCTAGATGAGTAGACCAGACTTGCATTAGAAGGGTTGTGTGAGAGAAGAGTAGAAAGGTATGCAGGTATGGAATGACTCACTCTATTTCACTGGCCTGGAGCATGTTTTCATAGCATCCTAAGTAAAAATGTACAATACAGTGTCTTCTTCCCTCAATTCCCCAGATTCCTTACTAAAAAAATCCTCGTGTGACTGACAACAATATTCCCAACCTCAAAGGATGAGGCGAAACCAGACTAAATTTTGTTCAAGTTATTTGTGTTGCTTATGAAGATCTCAGCATTACTCACTTTTTTCTGAAGAACTGCTGGGGGCACAGAACCACTCTGTAGAGTTCTGGAGGAGAGTCTTGTACTGGCTAGAGCTTCCATCAAGTAGAGCCACTGAGAAGAGAGGAGAGCAAAGGAAAGTGCAATTGACACACTTTTTACCTCATGCACGAGGAATCTGTGCTATGCTTCACCTTCTCTTTTGATGCCCCAACAGAGACTCTGTTACGTTAACAAGCTATGATATCTGGGTTGAACAAAGAGGTGAGAAGAGCAGGGCACTTCTCCCACTGTCAGTCATTCCTTCCCTCGAAAGAGCTTCTCTCACTTCTGATGGCTGAGAGATTCACTTTCCCAGCTGAAAAAAACCAATTAGAAATCCACTGAAGCTGAAGCAAGGAAAGGGACAGAAAAGTCATGAGACAAGTTAGAAGAGTGGAGAGGCCTGTTTTGATGAATGGCATTTGCCTGCTGGCAGAGGGACTAGCATAGGGGTTTTCCACCTGACCAAAGGCTGTCACCCAAGCCCTTCATCCCATGGGAATTAAGACACCCTGGAACCCACCAAGGCAGATGGTCACAAAGGCAGCTTTGATTGCAAGGGCAAAGATAAGGAAGACCCAGATGTTCAGCCAGGAGCAGCTTCTCTCTTCTGCTGGGGCTGAAAAACACAAAGCAAGAGTGAGCATGTCCGAGCCCAGACTTGGGGGCAGCATAACCCAGGTGGCTCCATACCCCAATAGCCTACTGGTCCCTCGTTCCAAGGACTGGGGAAGCCCCACAGGTGCTGGAAGCAGGTCCTGCTGCCTGTCACTAGCAGTGGCTCAGAGCCACAGAGTACGGTAACACAGGGACTGCCCTGAGGCTGTTTTCTTATTTCCCTGTTTCTTACAAGACATGTCTGTATTCTTCCCAGTCCTCACTCCCTTTTTGTCCTGTCAGACCTCCTTTCTCCTCAACACATCTTCCTTGTTGCCTTACATTTTACCCCTGTGTGTCCCTGAATGCTCTTTCTAGACGTCCCTCCTCTTCCTCTCTCTTTAGAGCTTCTTTCTCTCACTAGCTGTATTTTGCCTGCATACCGTGAGCCCCTTTCTGCAATGGCACGGTCCCCCAAAGGAGTGACTGCCCAGCTCAGGGTGTGCACAGCCAGACACTCAGAAGGGATTGCTTCCACAGGGGGAAAAGGCACTTGGGAGCTCTTGGGAGAGCTCTGGCTGGGTTGTCCTTCAAGACACCAGAGATGGGAGCTGGGACTTGTGCTCGGCGTCACACGGAGAGCTTTACCGGGGGAATTACAGAAGGATGGCACCCCTCAGCCCCACTGTGTACAGACAAACCACTGAAGGGAAGAGCAGGGCACAGTCTGCCTGCACTTCCATTTCCCCTGGCTCTAGGAAAAAGCTCGTTCTGCCAGCCTGGGCACTGCCCACTTCCCTCATCTGTTGCTTTCCTCTTGTCCTAAGCCCCATCCTCTGGCAGGAGGCCGGTGACCACACCATGGCCAAGATCCATCCCAGCCCTGTCTTTCCCCCATCTCCTTTGGCAGGAGGACAGAAAGGAAGGAAGGTTTGGGGGTTGCTTACCTGCAGTTCCAGGACTGACTCTGCTTTGGTGATCCATCATCTCTACAAGAGGATCACTCTTCTCCAAGGGTCCCCGTTACCAGTGTGGTCACAAACAGCCTTCCTCCTGCACAGGCCACCTCCCACACTGGTGAGGGCCTGTCACAGGCTCTGATGTGATGTGCTGAAAACCCCATATCCTGGGTGTACACCACAGCACATGGAGACTGGGGAATTTTCATCATTTCCCTGCCAGGATATTTCACAAGATGTTCATTGCAACACAAACTCATTGAGGCAAAGGAAAACAAATGAAGGGGAGCATCAGTGCAGCTCACACAGTCTCCCTTTGCACAGCCTCAGGCAGTTTCACAGGTCATACATGGCATTCCATCTCTGGTGCGTGCAGAGACGGTGTGTGTGCATGTGAAAATACATACCCGGGCAGGTATATTTGGCATTTCTTAGGAAAGGGCTAAACCCACTGAGCACAGCCTGCAAAAGGGAACCAAAAATCACCAGGAAAAAAGCCAAAAACCAGGAAAGTATATATATGACTCAGTCTGGGCCCTGCCCATGCCCTGTGCAGTGCCCATGTGCATCCTGAGCCCAGAAATCCAGAGCACAACAGAGAACTTGCCAACACTGTTTTGAATTGTATTTGAAGGGAGGCTGTGGCTTTGAGCAAAGGGGTTCCATAAGACTGGGCATTGTGGGGCAGAAGGATCACTAGGCAGTGCCAAAGTCCTTGTATGTGACAGATTATGAAGTCTCTCTTGGTTGTGGCTGCAAAAGCTGCAGACATATGTGGAACAGACTAAATGGGAACACAGCCTTGTTCCATTAGCTGGTTCCTCCCTTTGGAGTGGAATGCATGGGTGCAGTGTCACAGGAGTGGAAGAGCTCATGGCAGTAGCACAGCCATTTCAGCTTAAGCATCAGAAGATCAGGGCACAGAACTGTTCCAGGTGAGGACAAGCCTGAGCTCCCTGTAGAAGACATCCTCTGATTCTGTTATTTTGTGCACAACAGGCTGCAGGGCTGGGTCAGAGCCTACGTTTCTAAGCATCTATATGGAACTAATGTTCACAAGATCTCACAGACATAAACATCCAAAAGACTTGTGCAACCTCCAGTCTCCCACCAGCCCGCCAGGAAGTTCAGCTGCAAGAACACATCCCCTTTGTGGAACACTGGTTCCCCGGTCCCACCCACTTCCTGCTGGAGATGCAGGGTTTGTGTGTATCCACACCTCTTCCAGCAGCAGTGAACCACAGGTGAAAGCACAGAGTCACATTGTCACACTGCAGAACTGTGGGCCTGTGCCTGCTGCACCCCTTGAGTGAGGTCACCCATGGCACTCAGCTGCCAGGGCACTTCTTACAGACAGAGGTGGCCAAGTTGCAGAGCACCCTGAGCCCAATGGCCACTTTCCTCCCACTTCTCTCTCCTCTCTCTCTTAAACAGTTTTTGCTTCTAAACTTTTTCTGTGCCTCAGAAGCTTTCCCCTAATGTCCTGCTTACTGTTAAGCTGGAACTCATGTTCTTCTTTAACAGCAGTGGTTTAGGGAAAAATGAAACTCAAACAGTTGCAGGTATTGAATCACCCAGCTGTTTGCATTCACACTCCTATTTTATCACTTTCTTCTGCCCAGGCCACTGGAAGAGTGGTGAAGCATCTCAGCCTGAAATAGGCTCTGAAGAGCACAGTGGTCATGTTCCTACCTCAGGACACTGAAGTGGCATCAGTGAAGGAATTAATTCTGCATGAGATATACATCTGCACTGTGAAGCTGAAGAGGACCAGGACACCAGGAATAGGAAGGGAGGATATTTGCAGCACTCCACTTCAACAGTTCCTTGATTGCTGTCATCAGCAGAGACTTGTGGTGGTTTCTAACAGCTGCCTGTGACACTTCCTCACATCTGCTGGTGTTATTGACTGTATCCTGTGGAATTAAGTCAAATGTAGTTGACAAGAGTCAATACTACTGCAGTGGAAATAGTCTTGTTGAGAGGGACTTCTTGCACAAGACTGCAGAGATAAGACAAAGGATAATGGCTTTAAACTGACAGAGGGCAGGTTTTAATTAAATATTAGGAATGAATACATTACTATGAGGTAGGTGAGGCACTGGAACCTGTTGCCCATAGGAGCCGTGTTCCATCCCTGAAATGTTCAAGGCCTGGCTAAATGGGGATATGAGCAATCTGGTCTAGTGGAAGGAGTCCCTGGCCATGACCTGGGGGGCTTGAAACTAGACTATCCTTTAAAGTCCCTTCCAACCCAAAACCATTCAATTATTCATGGATTACACCTCCACAGTTTAGAGATGGAAAAGAAAAGAGATATGGACACAGAGCACAGGGCCTTTTTTCACTGGTGTGTTACTGTATTTTCTCTTGTCTAAGTTTTCAGAATTTGCTCAGCAAAACCAGTACAGCTAGAGGACATTCTGTGTGTGACTCAACAAAAAGCAAACAGCTCTGCTCAAGGACACAAAGGACATTGAATCTCTGGATATGTGTCTTCCATTCCTGTGTCTTCCTCCTGGAGAAGTCCATCTCTTTCCAGCCAGCGGCTGCTGGACCCACTCAGAGAGGACACAAGAACACAGCACCAGCTTCAGTGAGCCTGAGCCTTCCTGTGTTTCCTGAGCCACCCCATGCACGGGGGATGCTGGACAAAGCTCATTTCACTTTCACACACATGGTCCCACCCCACACCGTGAAGATGTATCAGGGCTCCCCACCCCTCCCCGCACAGCCAGCGCTGTTCCCAGCTCACTGCTCAGCTCCCAGCTTTACTCAGGACAGGGGCACTTCCATCACACAGTTACTGCTGCAACTTCACAAATTCGATGATACTTCAAACATCTGACGTCATTCCAGTTGTTGGGTAGTTCTGTATCCCTATGGATTATAACGCAATTCTCATCAAGGGTTTCACTTGGTTCACCTTTTCGCCAGAACCTGGGACAGAGACAGGCTTGTTACTCCCCGGTGTCCACCATAAAGCACTGCTGGAAAAGGCCACAGTGGAATGCAAGTCTTGAAAGGAAGAGACAGAAATTCCCAATGCTGCTTAATGGACAGAAGCAGTGCTCTTCCTCCCTTTCTGATATCTCATTGGCACCAGTTTCCCATGGACACCTACCTCCTTCCTATAGCCTTCCAGCATAACAGTGGCTGGGCAACTGATCACCACTGTTCATCCCATGTATGGCATGAACAGTGCTCACACCTAGCAGAGGGCCATGATGGCCTCCAGGGCAAGTTTGTGACATCTCCCTCTGTTGCACCAACAGGCACCTTCACATCTTCTCTACTTCTTTCCCTACCAGGAATTACACCAAATTACTTCATCCAGAGATACTCACGCTGCTGTCACATTATATGGAGTCTTGTCCACCCACTGCCACTTGCCCACCTTCTCTGCAAACAGACCAATGTAGAAATTGTCTGGTTTCGGTTCTTTAGATTGTCTTATCTGCTCAGAGAGAAAAACCTGGCAATCAGAGACAGAGCATAATGTTCATGAGGAGCAGGACTGAGCACAGGGAGGCATCAGGAGTCCCTGTGGGGTGGGGCTGGTGGCAGAGGGGGGCTGGTGCTGCAGAGGTGCAGACAGGACATTCCCCATTACCTGCAGGACAAGGAGGGGCTCTGAGTCCCCTCCAGGGCCCAGCACTGTGTCTCTGCCTGCTGGATCCCTGTCTCAGCCCTGTGCAAGTACCTGCTCTTCCTTGCTGTTGATCACCACCAGCTGGGAGCCCATCCCAGTGCAGTTCTGCTCACTCTCAGCCCAGTTCATCACGTCAAGGGACAGGAAATAGCAGCTTCTTTGAAACCTTCTCCAGTCCTTTGGGCAGCACGTCCAGCCTCGTGCTGTGCAGGGAGAGGACAGAGAGGTGAAGCCTACTAACAAGAGATGGTGATTGCAAAGATCCACGATTTCCAGGGACAGTGCTCATGTCCTCCTCAGTGACTTTTCCCGACAGAAAGTGCTTGACAAATCAGGAATACTACAGACATTTCTTCCCATTGCGTTGGAGTATGACCAGTGAGTTTTGTGTACCCAAAGCCATGGTAATCCTTGTAATAGAAGTCCTTTCCTTTGTAATGGAAGAACTTTCAAGAAAGTTCTTTTGGTGATGTTCTTGACTTGTCCTGTGTGGTAGTTTGGCATTAATTGACACTTAGGGAAAGAAGAACCACCCACAGAAGTGATTTCTTTGAGAGAAGCTGCTGGGAGCTTCCTCTGTGCCTGAGACAGGCCAATAGCTGGCCAGTTCTGAGAACTGACATTTTGCACCATTGAAAATTAGGTCCACCTCTGTGAATAACACCTTTTAAAAACCTAAGCCTGGGAACCTTTTGCTCTGTTCTGCTTCCAGCCTTGAACAGGTAACTGGGGGCTGGCTCCCTGCCTGGCCTGTGCAGCCTGGCTGGGCCGGGCCAGGCTCTGCTGCAGTGCTGGCCCCTCATGGGAAGCCCTCCGGGTCCTGTTCCCCAGGGGGGGTTGAGCCCCCCCTTCCAATGGGGGCTGAGCCCTTCCCAGGGAGCCTGCTGAGCCCTTTCCAGCAGTGCCAATGGGCCAGGCCAGTCCCCGCCTCAGCTGGAATTCTCCTGCCATTGAGTTTTACCAGAAACTGTTGAGAACGGGGAGGGGAAGCCATACACCCGCGGTGTGCTGCCTCTGAGTGCTAGCCTGGCTGCTGAGATCCCAGTGCAGCCACCAAAAAATCATCCAGCATAAACAGCTCTGGTCGCTGTCCTGTCAGTGATCACATAACTATCCACAGGCCTGGACAAGATATAACCCTTTCAATACACAGATGAGACCTGCAGACCTTGTTCGTCTCTCCAGGGAGAGAAAAGGACAGTGATGACATGTAGAAAGACAACATGAAAACATCAAGGTCAGTAAAAGAAGGAGTCAAGCCTCAGATGGAAGAGGGATGAGGAGATCCCAAATGGGGCTGAAATATTATTTTGGTAGGGCCATGGAGATGGACAATGATGTACTGAATAGCTCCTTTAATTTGTAAGAGTATGGGGAGATGAAGACTTCAAGCTGTAGATCTGAGCAGAGACATTCATTGATGAAACTAAGCAGACACTGGAGTAGCTGTAATCCCATGAGACACTTGAACAGAGATGAGAGTGATGAAGACACTTTGCCCCCAGGGAGAGAAGAAGAAAACTTCTGTTTCCAGAGATGATCACAGAGACAGACGAAGAGAACCTTTGATTTTGAAAAATTCATCCTTAAAATAATACCCCATGAGTTCATGGCCCATGGACACACCTCTGGGAGGGCTGTGAAAATGGAGGAATGTCACAATGGCAGAATTTTTTCCGGGGCATCTGCTATTTGTAGAAATTAAAAGCCAAGAAAAAACTGTTTCTTGTGGAGAAGTTTCCATGTCATGACAGGAAAAAACTCCTCTTCCTACAAGGACTGATGAAAGACAATTATATAGTTGGTGCTGTTTTAACATCCCAGGTTTTGTCTCTACATTGTTAGTTGGGAAGAGAAAAGTTGGGCAAGGGTAGGAAAGGTGTTCTAAAGGTTTTATTCTGGTTTCTTATTCTTGTAATCCTATTAATAAAGTTTCTTTATTGCTTTTAAGTTTTAAGCCTGTTTTGCCCTTCTCCTAATCCATATCACACAAAGATAAATGAGTAAGTGCCCTGGTGTTATTAGCCAGGGCTAAAACCCACCACATCCTGGTACAGCCTCCTTGAGGCCTTAAGGCCAAGGAAGAGGGGACATTGCGAGTACTGACCTGTGACTTGTGGCACCGCTGAGTCGCACTTCCACTCCGAGAACTGCTGCTGCAGGGCTGTGGGCTGGTCAGTGCTGTGGCAGAAGGGAACCACTGCAAAGGGAGAGGAAAGGCAGCAGGATTACCCCTTCCTCACAGCTCCTCACACAGCATCTCTGGCCCATCTCTGGACTCTCCTGCCACCACTTCCCCACCAAGCATTGTCCCAGCTGTCACCTCTCCTGGCCCAAACCAGTGGCACAGCTGCCTTCCCAGCCAGAAAGAGACCGTCTTCCAAGTCAGCAGAAGGACCCCTGGAAGCACATCCCACTGAGGACATGCCACACATGGCAGGATTGATCCCACCTAACCACAGCCACTCTGCCATGCACACAGCTGGAGCCCAGCTGCCAGTCTACAAAGCAGCATCTCATTGTCACCCTTTGTCTCTTCCTAAACTGCACATCAGCTGGCATTTGGAGGAGTCACCCATCAGCTGGGCCTGTTCCATCAGCAACACACAGTCCAGGTGAAGGTAATCACATACAGTGGGAGCTGCTGAAACCAGGGTGAGGCATAAACTCCTAGGCCTTCCTAGCTCCCAGTTTGTGGGGAATAATGCACTGTTGGTGACAGGCCACATCCACAGTCCCGAGGACTTCCTAGTAAGTCAGACACTCAGGAGGATGGATTAGGAGCTGATTAGGATGTGCTTAGTGATCCAGATGTCTATTTTCATCAATCATTTGATTTTGAAATATTTTGATTTAGGAGCAGAACAATTGTAGTGGCTTTGGTGCCAGATTAGTGAATTGCTGTAATGGAAGGAGGCTCAGAGGAGATGGGCAAGGGCAATGCCAGGCTGACCACTCCCATTGCCAATAAAGGTCACCTTGTCGCTACACAAAGAGAAAAGATGCAAAGAGAGGTGACTTTTGGTTTAGATCAGCTGAGAGATTTGACCTGCTGTGGAAGTAAGTGTTCATCCCTTTAGAGATCGATAAGGGTCAGTGTGTTCCTCAGCCACAAAACATCTGTTTGCTGAGAGACTCTGTTATGCCTTAGCCTTGCTGAGGAAGCAGGATAGGAAGTCATTGGCTCCCAGTCCTCTGGAAACACTTCAATCAGAGAAGTGTTGTCCAAGCTCTCAGCTCATGCAGACTGAGAGACTTAACAGCAAACTGCTCTGACAGCCTTGCTGCCACCACAGGCAGTTCCTTACACAGACATCCAAGAGCCCTGCCTTATGCCCAGAGATTCAAATGATGGATTCAAAGCTACGGATATGTGCTCACAAAGGTGGAAACTGCATGGAGAGGGAACTCTGACCTGTGTTTTGGTGAAGGGCATTTGCCTGCTGGCAGAGGGACTAGCATAGGGGTTTTCCACCTGACCAAAGGCTGTCACCCAAGCCCTTCATCCCATGGGAATTAAGACACCCTGGAACCCACCAAGGCAGATGGTCACAAAGGCAGCTTTGATTGCAAGGGCAAAGATAAGGAAGACCCAGATGTTCAGCCAGGAGCAGCTTCTCTCTTCTGCTGGGGCTGAAAAACACAAAGCAAGAGTGAGCATGTCCGAGCCCAGACTTGGGGGCAGCATAACCCAGGTGGCTCCATACCCCAATAGCCTACTGGTCCCTCGTTCCAAGGACTGGGGAAGCCCCACAGGTGCTGGAAGCAGGTCCTGCTGCCTGTCACTAGCAGTGGCTCAGAGCCACAGAGTACGGTAACACAGGGGCTGCCCTGAGGTCGCTTTCTTATTTTGTTTCTTACAAAACATGCCTGTATTTTTCTCAGTCCTCACTCCCTCTTTGTCCTGTCAGACCTCCTTTCTCCTCAACACATCTTCCTTGTTGTCTTCTGTGATATATAAATGTATAATTCGGGTTTTTTCTATGTGTATATACGTAAATAAAAATTGGTTACGTATATTGAGTAAGCAAGGGTTGCAGCAGTGACAGCTCGGAGCCAGAGGAACAGACAATCTGCTAAAAAAACCACGGTTGCACCAGGGAAATCAAGGCCCACCCAGGGGAGATCAGCATACTAACGACACAGTGATTTGCACCTGATATCAGACTGATCTGATTCTCCGACCATGCATCTGAAAAACTCTGTTCCTGTAAAGCCACTCAAACCCTTTCCTCCCTTCTTGGAAATCTAGTTAACAAACTTACAATAAATATGAATATGCAACAGACTCGGAGAGGAAAAACTGTGCAGCCTCAGGCTATAGAAACCGTATAAAAACCCACTCCTACAGAAGACTGATGGTGAACTTGGGGGAGTCAGGACAGTAAAGACTGATTCAAAGTTCACCCACTGTCGATCCCGGGTGCGAAGCTTTAACCTTAACTGTGATTGTGGTTGTTCCTTTTTGACAAATTTTTCAAAAATTTTTAATAAATTTATTATTAAAAAATTTGGCTGTATTTAATTTATAACACCTTCCAATACCCCTGTGTGTCCCTGAATGCTCTTTCTAGACGTCCCTCCTCTTCCTCTCTCTTTAGAGCTTCTTTCTCTCACTAGCTGTATTTTGCCTGCATACCGTGAGCCCCTTTCTGCAATGGCACGGTCCCCCAAAGGAGTGACTGCCCAGCTCAGGGTGTGCACAGCCAGACACTCAGAAGGGATTGCTTCCACAGGGGGAAAAGGCACTTGGGAGCTCTTGGGAGAGCTCTGGCTGGGTTGTCCTTCAAGACACCAGAGATGGGAGCTGGGACTTGTGCTCGGCGTCACACGGAGAGCTTTACCGGGGGAATTACAGAAGGATGGCACCCCTCAGCCCCACTGTGTACAGACAAACCACTGAAGGGAAGAGCAGGGCACAGTCTGCCTGCACTTCCATTTCCCCTGGCTCTAGGAAAAAGCTCGTTCTGCCAGCCTGGGCACTGCCCACTTCCCTCATCTGTTGCTTTCCTCTTGTCCTAAGCCCCATCCTCTGGCAGGAGGCCGGTGACCACACCATGGCCAAGATCCATCCCAGCCCTGTCTTTCCCCCATCTCCTTTGGCAGGAGGACAGAAAGGAAGGAAGGTTTGGGGGTTGCTTACCTGCAGTTCCAGGACTGACTCTGCTTTGGTGATCCATCATCTCTACAAGAGGATCACTCTTCTCCAAGGGTCCCCGTTACCAGTGTGGTCACAAACAGCCTTCCTCCTGCACAGGCCACCTCCCACACTGGTGAGGGCCTGTCACAGGCTCTGATGTGATGTGCTGAAAACCCCATATCCTGGGTGTACACCACAGCACATGGAGACTGGGGAATTTTCATCATTTCCCTGCCAGGATATTTCACAAGATGTTCATTGCAACACAAACTCATTGAGGCAAAGGAAAACAAATGAAGGGGAGCATCAGTGCAGCTCACACAGTCTCCCTTTGCACAGCCTCAGGCAGTTTCACAGGTCATACATGGCCTTCCATCTCTGGTGCGTGCAGAGACGGTGTGTGTGCATGTGAAAATACATACCCGGGCAGGTATATTTGGCATTTCTTAGGAAAGGGCTAAACCCACTGAGGACAGCCTGGAAAGGAGGACCAAGAATCACCAGGAAAAATGCCAAAAACCAGGAAAGCATATCTATGACTCAGTCTGGGCCCTGCCCATGCCCTGTGCAGTGCCCATGTGCATCCTGAGCCCAGAAATCCAGAGCACAACAGAGAACTTGCCAACACTGTTTTGATTGAATTCCATTTGAAGGGAGGCTGTGGCTTTGAGCAAAGGGGTTCCATAAGACTGGGCATTGTGGGGCAGAAGGATCACTAGGCAGTGCCAAAGTCCTTGTATGTGACAGATTATGAAGTCTCTCTTGGTTGTGGCTGCAAAAGCTGCAGACATATGTGGAACAGACTAAATGGGAACACAGCCTTGTTCCATTAGCTGGTTCCTCCCTTTGGAGTGGAATGCATGGGTGCAGTGTCACAGGAGTGGAAGAGCTCATGGCAGTAGCACAGCCATTTCAGCTTAAGCATCAGAAGATCAGGGCACAGAACTGTTCCAGGTGAGGACAAGCCTGAGCTCCCTGTAGAAGACATCCTCTGATTCTGTTATTTTGTGCACAACAGGCTGCAGGGCTGGGTCAGAGCCTATGTTTCTAAGCACCTTTATGGAACTAATGTTCACAAGATCTCACAGACATAAACATCCAAAAGACTTGTGCAACCTCCAGTCTCCCACCAGCCCGCCAGGAAGTTCAGCTGCAAGAACACATCCCCTTTGTGGAACACTGGTTCCCCGGTCCCACCCACTTCCTGCTGGAGATGCAGGGTTTGTGTGTATCCACACCTCTTCCAGCAGCAGTGAACCACAGGTGAAAGCACAGAGTCACATTGTCACACTGCAGAACTGTGGGCCTGTGCCTGCTGCACCCCTTGAGTGAGGTCACCCATGGCACTCAGCTGCCAGGGCACTTCTTACAGACAGAGGTGGCCAAGTTGCAGAGCACCCTGAGCCCAATGGCCACTTTCCTCCCACTTCTCTCTCCTCTCTCTCTTAAATAGTTCTTGCTTCTTCCAAACTTTGTTTTCAGAGTGTTTCTTCTGTGCCTCAGATGCCTTTATCACTTGCTGCTGTCCAGGCCATCTGACCAACATGAAGTGGGATGGGTAAGGCTGGAGAGGGTCCCAAGTATAAAGAACAACAAATGTGCTCATGTTCAGAAATTAACTTGGTGGAAGACGTTCTTTCTTTCTCAGTGGTTGATGACTGTTTCTCCATCAATGTGAATCCCCTGAGCAGTCCTGCTATCCAGTCTCCTTGAACTCCAAAGGATTTGAAGGGAAAGAGTTGTCTGCAACACTGACATAAAGGCAAGTAGCCTGGAAGGAAATACTAAGAAAGCACAAGGCAGAAAACACAGGAGAAGTGCTGGCAGCAGGGATAACACAGGGAGAATTAATCCCAGAGAAAGTTGCTCCCACAAGTTGTGCCTGGTTGCTTTGCCCTCTCACAGCCAGAAAACCAGCCCCACAGCCCTGAAGCCCCAGCAGGGTGTCAGGGCAGCTCACAGGGGCAGCTGTCAGGCTCTGCAACTTGGGCTGCAGTTTGTGAGCTTTGTTTTCAGCAGTAAAGTACAAACAATCCAGGAGGACACGGGAGGTTCCTTCTCATTGAGCTTTGTGAGACAGGTTATGCAGGACCCAAGGATGAGATGGACTCGGCTGGCTCTCACTCTCACCAATGAGGCTGAACTGTTGGGGATGTAGATGCTGAGGTTCGCTTTCTCTGCAATGATTCTGGCCTGTCGGGATTCAGGATGTTGTCAATCCTTGCAGGGAATGATGAGCTCCAGGATATGAGGGCTCAGAGGGACATGGAAACAGACTCTTCCAGATCCTGATTCATCCCAAACTCCTGGAATGAATCACCCTTGTTCCCCTCCTGCTCTGTTCCTAGAGGTAGCAATCCTGTATGAAATCCCACCTTTTCCCTACAGCCAAGGCGAGGGGGCCGTGTCCAGACCCGGCAAGGGGCTGCTGCTCACCACAGGCTGACACCAGGAGTGGACACCCAGCAGAGGGACCTGCTTGTCAGCTCTGTCCTTCAGGGACTGTGCACATCCAGCTGGATTCACCACAGCAGGTATAACCCTCCTGTGCTGGGATGGCTCTTGTCTGGAGGAGGGAAGATAGGAATTCTGCTCCTTGTCCTGCTTGTGTGCTAAGAGTTATTGCAGCGGGGAGGCCTAAAGGGGAGTCCTGCATGGTAAAAGCCAGAAACACGTGGGAATGTCGCTAAAGACCCTGGACACGGCAGGCCTTTCCACCCAGTGCCAAGCCCAGCAACTCAAAACCATTCCATGATTCTAGGACAAAAGCTTTCCAGCTTGGAGATGTGGAAAAAAAGAGATGCAGAGACACAGCACAGAGCCTTTCTTCATTGGTGTGATATTGTATTTTCTCTTGATTAAGTTCTCTGAATTTGCTCAGCAAAACCAGTACAGCTAGAGGACATTCTGTGTGTGACTCAACAAAAAGCAAACAGCTCTGCTCAAGGACACAAAGGACATTGAATCTCTGGATATGTGTCTTCCATTCCTGTGTCTTCCTCCTGGAGAAGTCCATCTCTTTCCAGCCAGCGGCTGCTGGACCCACTCAGAGAGGACACAAGAACACAGCACCAGCTTCAGTGAGCCTGAGCCTTCCTGTGTTTCCTGAGCCACCCCATGCACGGGGGATGCTGGACAAAGCTCATTTCACTTTCACACACATGGTCCCACCCCACACCGTGAAGATGTATCAGGGCTCCCCACCCCTCCCCGCACAGCCAGCGCTGTTCCCAGCTCACTGCTCAGCTCCCAGCTTTACTCAGGACAGGGGCACTTCCATCACACAGTTACTGCTGCAACTTCACAAATTCGATGATGCATCAAGTCTGATCTGACGTCATTCCAGTTGTTGAGAGATTTTTCAAGCACATGCATTACCGTGCAGTTCTCATCAAGGTAATCACTTGGTTCACCTTTTCGCCAGAACCTGGGACAGAGACAGGCTTGTTACTCCCCAGTGTCCACCGTAAAGCACTGCTGATAAAGGCTGCAGTGGGATGCAGGACTTGAAGGGAAGAGACAGAAATTCCCAATGCTGTTTCATGGACAGAAGCAGTGCTCTTCCACTCCATATCCCACTGGCACCAGTGTCACGTGGAAACCTGCCTCCTCCCTACAGCTTTCCAGCACAACAGGTCCCTCCTCCATCCTGCTGGGGGGAACAGATCAGCACCACTCACCCCAGGCACCTCACACCCAGCTGAGGCCCGTGTCAGCCTCCAGGGCAAGTTTGTTTTCCAGAAGAAGACACAGCAAGGACAGTCCTGGTGCTTTCACCCTGTGCCCCATCTCTTTCCCTGCATTCCAGCACAAGCCATTTTGTGCATACAGGTGCAGTGAATGGAGGTCAGGCCAGGCTGGTCATCAGGCTTCTGAAGTGCCCCTGCTGCCAGAAAGTTGAAGTTTTTTCTATGCTTACAGCCTTGACTTCCATGTCACAGTTAGTAATTCATAACCAATAATCAGCACAGACGGGGCCGTGTGAACCTGGTGTACCACACAGCCCTCTCCTGCTGTATCTTTGATCACTCACCAGGAAGTCTGGTGACAACCCCCTCTCATTCACCAGCTGAACCTCTCACATCTCTCCTATTTTAATTCCCTATCAGGAATTACACCAAACACTCTTCATCCAGAGATACTCACGCTGCTGACACATTATATGGAGTCTTGTCCACCCACTGCCACTTGCCCATCTTCTCCTCAAACAGACCAATGTAGAAATTCTCTCTTTTAGGAGGTTTTTTCATTAGCATGGAGAGAAAAACCTGGCAATCAGAGAGACAGAGCATAATGTTCATGAGGAGCAGGACTGAGCACAGGGAGGCATCAGGAGTCCCTGTGGGGTGGGGCTGGTGGCAGAGGGAGCTGGTGCTGCAGAGGTGCAGACAGGACATTCCCCATTACCTGCAGGACAAGGAGGGGCTCTGAGTCCCCTCCAGGGCCCAGCACTGTGTCTCTGCCTGCTGGATCCCAATCTCAGCCCTGTGCAAGTACCTGCTCTTCTTTGCTGTTGATCACCACCAGCTGGGAGCCCATCCCAGTGCAGTTCTGCTCACTCTCAGCCCAGTTCATTGTGTCAGAGGACAGGAAATAGCAGCTTCTTTGAAACCTTCTCCAGTCCTTTGGGCAGCACGTCCAGCCTCGTGCTGTGCAGGGAGAGGACAGAGAGGTGAAGCCTACTGACAAGAGATGGTGATTGCAAAGATCCACGATTTCCAGGGACAGTGCTCATGTCCTCCTCAGTGACTTTTCCTGAGAGAAAGTGTCGCTGTAGGACACTAAATGATTCACACTGACATGGCTCAATGTATGATATGAAAAAGAAGTTATTTATTCTGTGACTTTAATATTTAAAGATTTTTGACAATGGCCAGGGATTAGATAGGGTAACCTAACCAGTAATTTAACCACTAACTTAACCCGTTAGGTTACCACTTTTCCAATCACAATAGTCGTGAGAAACTTCCATCAGAAGACGTTTCTTTAATAGAATGTATAAACATCTATGTTTATAGTTCCTTTCCTGAGAAAGTGACTGCCAACTATGAAAACAAGATCAGAACATTTAATTCTCAAAGCGACAAGAAAATGCTTGAAAAATCAGGGATGCTACAGACATTTCTTCCCATTGCTTTGGGAATGTGGACCCAAAGCCATTACAAATCCTTGCAATGGGGTCATGGGTCTCGAGAAAGTTCTTTTGGTGATGTTCTTTGACTTGTCCTGGTACAGCCTCCTTGAGGCCTTAAGGCCAAGGAAGAGGGGACATTGCGAGTACTGACCTGTGACTTGTGGCACCGCTGAGTCGCACTTCCACTCCGAGAACTGCTGCTGCAGGGCTGTGGGCTGGTCAGTGCTGTGGCAGAAGGGAACCACTGCAAAGGGAGAGGAAAGGCAGCAGGATTACCCCTTCCTCACAGCTCCTCACACAGCATCTCTGGCCCCTTGACTCTCCTGCCACCACTTCCCCACCAAGCATTGTCCCAGCTGTCACCTCTCCTGGCCCAAACCAGTGGCACAGCTGCCTTCCCAGCCAGAAAGAGACCGTCTTCCAAGTCAGCAGAAGGACCCCTGGAAGCACATCCCACTGAGGACATGCCACACATGGCAGGATTGATCCCACCTAACCACAGCCACTCTGCCATGCACACAGCTGGAGCCCAGCTGCCAGTCTACAAAGCAGCATCTCATTGTCACCCTTTGTCTCTTCCTAAACTGCACATCAGCTGGCATTTGGAGGAGTCACCCATCAGCTGGGCCTGTTCCATCAGCAACACACAGTCCAGGTGAAGGTAATCACATACAGTGGGAGCTGCTGAAACCAGGGTGAGGCATAAACTCCTAGGCCTTCCTAGCTCCCAGTTTATGGGGAATAATGCACTGTTGGTGACAGGCCACATCCACAGTCCCGAGGACTTCCTAGTAAGTCAGACACTCAGGAGGATGGATTAGGAGCTGATCAGGGTGTGCTTAGTGATCCAGATGTCTATTTTCATCAATCATTTGATTTTGAAATATTTTGACTTAGGAGCAGAACAATTGTAGTGGCTTTGGTGCCGGATTAGTGAATTGCTGTAATGGAAGGAGGCTCAGAGGAGATGGGCAAGGGCAATGGCTGGCTGACCACTCCCATTGCCAATAAAGGTCACCTTGTCACTACACAAAGAGAAAGGTTGAGAAGAGAGGTGACTTTTGGTTTAGATCAGCTGAGAGATTTGACCTGCTGTGGAAGTGTTCATCCCTTTAGAGATCAAAAAGAGGCTAGCATTTTCCTTAGTTAGCCAAACCAGCACAGGACAATTGTATATCTTAGTCCAAATTAGTGTAAGAAACTGAATGAGTAACAAAAACATACCTGAAGAAATCAATGAGCCTAAGCTGGCGTTAACTCCCCTATTTTGTCTTGGTATTTGGGGACACACAATGTCTTGATTTGGAACATACTGCAAAACTATGTTCAATTTGGGCCCCTCATAACAAGGATATAAAAGTGTTAGAGCATGTCTAGAGAAGGGCAGTGGAGGAGTTGGGGACAGGTCTGGAGCACAAGTCCTATAAGGAGCAGCTAAATGAGCTGGTGGTGTTTATCCTGCAGAAAAGGACGCTCATGGGTGACCTTGTCACTCTCTACAGCTCCCTGAAAGGAGGTTGTAGCCAGGTGTGGGTCAGCCTCTTCTCCCAGGTAACAACCAATAGTACAAGAGGAAATGGTCTGAAGTTGTGCCAGGGAAGATTTAGTTTGGATATTAGTAAAAGCTTCTTCACTGAAAGGTAGCCAAGCACTGGAACGTGCTGCTCAGAGAAATGGTGGAGTCACCATTCCCAGTAGAGTTCCAAAGGCAAGTAGATGTAGCACTTGGAAACATGTTTCAGTGGTGGGCTTGGCAGTGGTTGGTTAGTCATTTAGCTACATGACCTAAGCTATCTTTTCCAACATTAATGATTCTATGACTCCATGCTTGTATGACCAGCATTTAAAATCATGTTTGTATTGTGATCCATTTGTGCATTGCAGTGGCCACTCTGCTACATGCAATTTGTACTGCTGTTTCATTTAAATGCTGTATCTCTCTGCTAAACCAAAATCCTGTGTAGTGTCAATTAACTTGGATAAGTAAATTTTCACTAAAAATTACACCTTCCATGTGTATCACAAGGTATCAGATGCTAATATCCCAGCCTGAAGCTCCCCAACCATTTGGTTGAGTACTATGAAAGGTTTTAGGAACAAAGCAATATAAATTTCTGGGACACAGACACTAAGGGCAAAAGGAAAGGCAGTGATTTATTGTAATAAGATACCTCTTCCAGAATCCATTGTGGTAATTGACAACTTGTGCAAACATGCCATTAATTATCTTTAACAGAAAATTAGACTGAAACGATGATCACAATCTTCACAAACAGCATGTCCAGGAATAACCTCTAATGAATTATTCTGCAATCAACCCTAAAAAGTTGTGAGAGTTAATTAACTACACTGTACAGTCAATCCTGGATATGCCATGCCTGTGAGAAGACATTTTTTCCACTAGGATACAAAGCATATCCAAGCACCTTAGAGAGCCTAAGTGCAGATTCAGCTGCCTGTACAGACACTTGTGCTTCTGTCTCCACTTTTTCCCATCTGCCAAATGTGAGTTCTTTTTGTGGGGAATCAAGGTAGAGAATTGTTCCAGAGTTCCAAAAAGGCCATGCAAGACTGGAATGTGCAATCTGGGCACATTGACAAAGCCTCAGAGTAAACAGTGGAAGATTTGGGGTAAGTATGCAGACATATACAAAGTCAGGGCAGCAAAACCTGAGACCTTACACAAAGCCCAGACAAACACAAACCATGGTTTCTCTACTTTTCTCCCAGCACTCCCCCACACCTCTCCCTTGTAATCTCCTGCACATACTCACCAAGAAGGATAACAACAAGGGCAAAGCACACCAAGAGGAGCAGGAGTGAGATCGACCATGGCAGCCAGAGTGGGTATTTCTGGGGATGGTGCTCAGGCTTCTTTGTCTCCGGAGGTACTAAAAGTGACAGAAACACATCAAACAAAACACCACACTCAACTAGGGGTCCACCAGTCCACAGTCCACATACCAAGGATGTACTACTCAAGGGAGTGCTCCACAAAAGAAAAAAAAAATAATTCTGATGTGGAAGTTACAAGGTTTTGGAGAAGGGCAGACTGGGACAGAGCAGGGAATGTCTGTGATTTCTGGAGAAAAGTCAAATTCAGTGAATATGTTCTCAGCCCAGCCAGTGAGCCAACAATGATAATTGTTGGTGTTTGGGGGTGAGCTCTTCACAGGGCCTCAAAATCTGAAGTGAAACAATGCCTTTCTAGATTGAGCCCAAAGCTACCAAATGCAACGTTGCTCAGACTGTGATACTTGAGACATACAAGGAAAGATTTCATGTTGACTTCTTCCCAGGAAACTTTGTCTGCCTGCTTCAGTTCCTTCTTAGCTTTTTGGACTTCCTGTGCAGAATGTTGGTGTAATCTGAGTGAGGATGGGAGACAAAAAATGTGCAAGGCTATGATGGCACATCATCATTGGGAGATTAAAAGATATATTTTTTTCCTCCCATCTCTGTTTTCCAAGTCAGAATTCAAAGATTTGCTGTAATAAAACTAGGTTGTGCTAGGCTGGATGTCTGGGGAGAAGAGGACTGTGTCCAGCGGCCTGAGTAAAGTAATCAGATTAAGATTTGCCAGGACCTCATTTTTGTCTAGAGGGATATTGCCAGTACTGAGAAGGTTTGGGAGCAGACAGGAGAATGGGTCATGGGGAAGGAGAAGCAAACACGTGTTAAGGGATTGCTCTAGCTAGTGGCAGATACACCAGCCAGGGCAAATAGGAGAGTAAAGAGACAGCACCACTCACTGCAGAACAGGAGTAAAGTAGTTTTGGGAGAGACTGCTATTAAAGATTTAGAGAGCCTTCATTCATGGTTCAGCACAAAGGTCCCAGGTCTGTCAGCAGCCAAATGTACCTGCCAGACATGCCTAGTAAGAAAGACTGTCAGAAACCTGCTCTTTGTGGAAGCCTTCTGACTACTTCCCAAAGGCTTGGGAGAGACTGCTACAAGGCAAAAGGCATACTCTTTCATTATTTGGAGAGAAAATGTGTGGGGACAGACAAGGTCCAGGTTTCCCTGGTCAAATAATGTTTTTCTAGTCAGAGCTTTTGCCTCACTAAAAACCAGGAGCCCCCTCATGATCTGGATGGAGTCCAACCACCTACTTCAGAAATAGCTCTAACCAGTCCAACTGATTTTTTTGATATGCAGCACATTCAGAGATTGTTCAACCTGTGCCCAGTCAGACCTGAGCATCCCACACTCACACCCAGGTGGCACAGGGAGCACTGCATGCTGTGCACCTCAGCAACACAACTGAAGTGCAGTAATCTTGTGTACACTCGGTGGGTTGAGCTCCCTTCAAAATGCTTTCCACAGCTGGTCTGTGCTCTGTAATGTGGCCAGCATGATCACAACACAACAGACTTGATGTCTTTGGAATAATCATTTGGAACACAATGGGGAACTCCCACAACCTCCACCTCACCACAGTGGAAATGCTAATTACATTCAGAGCCAACTAATATTGGTGCACTGAAAACAGTCAACTTTCAAGTCATACAGGACTATGTACATTCTTTATTTCCATGAGTCATGCCTCAGAGCAGGCAAGGAATAACCTGGAACTAATGTCTGCTCTGTTTGGGATTGTAAAACTGAGGTAAAGCTATAAATAGGCAAGCTAATATCCTTAGGCAGCAGTAATTATTTATTTAATATTTAAAAATTATTATTCCTTGCTTTATGCACACATACATTTACTGCCCTGTAACAACCTGCTGCTGTGTAGGGTCCTGTATGTCAGGCAGAAGCAGTGAACCTTACCTACTTGTGGCATAATGACTACAGAGTACATACTAAGCAGAACGTGCTTTAGATTTGCACAAAATCTAGTAAAAGAACCATTTTACCATTGTATCTTTTAATAGTTTGTTTGGTGTGTTAAACATTTTTTAGGAATTGAAGACATCAATAACAGATTTGAATCTCCCTCCAGATCTTAAATAATTCTTCTTCTGTATATTTTAGGGTGTTCAAGTTTTGGGTCTCTCTTCTCCAAGGACCATTTCTCAATCAGCCATAGGCAATGGGGTTATGTTTCTGCAGCCAGTACCATTTCTCATGAAGCTGCAGAGTACAACTGACTGCTCTACTATAAGCAGGCATGTTGATTCTTTTACCCTCTCCACAAGCAGCAATCTGTAGTCTCACTCAGAGCCAAGAGCAGCCAGGACTTGGGATTATTTGCTGCTTTGGGAGCCCCTCCGCCTTTGTGACAGAGAAGATTGTTTATAATATACCACAGTCTCTACTGTTGGTACTCAGCATGGTCCAAAAATGACTCTTTCAAGACTACATAACATGTAGGGTACTGAGGGAGCCAAACAGATTCCTTAATGAATGCTCATTTGAAACTTACTCTTTGTGCTCCCGGTATTCATCCTTGTTAATGTTGCAACTCCCATTCACCTTTCCTCTTGGAGACGTTCCTCAAGACTCTTATTTCAAAACTCCTTCAGTCTCCAGAGCATTTAACTCCTTTTTCTAACCAATCCATCAAGATCAGGTAGGAACCAGAGCCGCAGGAGGAAAGATCTCCATTGCCTCTTTTTCAGCCCTGCTCCCTCCCTCCCAAATAACCCATTCATTCCTTACCTTTGACCACTGGAGCCGGTGATTCATTTTTGAACTTCACCTCAGCATAGGTGATTTCTGATGCCATTTAATCAGTGTGACCCTTTCCTTAGTTTTGCCACATAAAAGGTGGTCCTTGTAGCTCCTTGCTTCCAGAGGGTGACACTAATAGGTTACTGAGCCTTTCCCATCTGTTCATTCACCCTCTGCCCATCAAAGAAGGCTGTGCTGAACACTGGAAACACTGGTGATAACCTGAGAATTCCTGGGAGCTCAGAAATGCTCCAAAGATATCTTCAGTTTCTTAGCCCAGGAAATCAGTCCTGGCACCATGGAAGATCTTGAGACATAAAAGAAAAATGAGAACCTAACAACCAAAAAGGAAGTTGCGCTCCTTCCCCATTTCAGATTCTCAGCTGACAGGCTTCCTTTCCAAGACATTTATAGAAGTTTTTTTTAATTTTTTAACTTTCTTACTTAACTATCTCCCCATATTTTCATGTCTTTCTTTGTCTATTAGTAATTCTACCATTGCTCTCACATTTACAGATATCACAGTTCTTAGCCCAGTTTAACCTGCAGTCCAGGACAAAATGCTTTCTGCCCTACTTGTCCCTTGTGGTTAAGCTGCATTTGCTATATCAAATGTTGCAGCTATGTCTCATTTTTCAAAGTCAGTCCCGGTTGGAAGCTAGCACTAGAACAAATCTCAGACTAGGAAAGGCTCCTGTAGAAATGAGACCTGGGGAGTTGCAGCCTTAGACAAAGCAATAAAAATAATCAGATGATTGACATGTCCATGAAGAAACAGAAGGATCAGGCTGGGGTCAGGGAGAAGAACAAGCAAAGGGGAATTTTAAAAAAAAATATGTTGATGGTCTGAGAAATTATTGGGAAGAGTACAGACAGAAACTTTTCTATTAAAATCTGATTCACAGCCTATGGAAGTTCAGAGCAGTGCTTGCTTCAGGCGCCACTTCAGAGGCTGGAAAGGGATGGTTTACATTTTCCTGCTACTTTTCCAACACTGTCATTTACCTCCCTTATCTGCTTTCTGGTAAAGACCTCTGATATTACCTTGGGCAAAGTGTCAGTGCTTAGTCTAATTTCAAGCTGGAGCAGATCTTGAAAGGAGACAAGGGAAATGGCTTCTGAGATACATTCTAAATCAGAAAGACTTCTGAGAAGAGATGCCAATAAGACAGGGTGAGGAGGGTTCAGTCAGCAGATAGGACTATGGTTTGGTCAGAAGAGACCTTCAAAGACTATTTTCTCCAGCCCACCTGCCATGGGCAAGGACATCTTTCACTACATCAGGCTGCTCAAAGCCCCTTCCAACCTAAACATTTTCAATTAAGGGGAATCTGAAATTTCTCTGGACAACCTGTTTCAGCATCTCAGCAACCTCATTTTAAAGAATGTCTTCCTTATAGCTAATCTAGATCTGGTTTTTTCAGTTTAAACCCATCACCCCTTATCCTACCAGGTTCTGTTAAAAGGCCTCTCTCCATCTTTTATATAAACCCCTTCTACTGAAAAGCCACAACAAGATCTTGAAAACAACCAGAAGGAAGAAGCTGGTTAGTTTGGCTAGCTGGAATTCCCTTAAGGCAGAACAGAATGAGATGCTCACAGGAGAGTACAGAGGGTAAACAGAGCAGAGTTGGAGCTGAGATAGGGCAGTAGAAGGAAGAACATGCACCAGACAACAGAGGAGAACAATGTGGTAGAAGGTAAAGGGAATCTGAACACAGATTATGGAGAACTGCCACTAAACAGAGAGGTGCATATGTAACTGGATGTCTTTACCAAGGACCCTCCTTGTGTCTTTCATGTCCTGAGCTAACTTTACTTCTCCTTTATGTATTGTGTGCAAAGAGGGTAACTTTTACAAAGAATAAGAACAGCTGCAGGGAGAAGCCTGGTCCCTCAAGCAATCATGCTGCTAGTTTCTCTTTCCAACATACTTCCAGCACTATCCTTTGTCTTCAGTCCTGGCCCTCTCGCTGGAATTAAGCCTCCCTAAGTGTCAGCTGAAATCCAGTTAAGCCTTCAAATTTCTTGTGGAGAATTCAGCAATCCTTTGCACGCTTCCCCCTGTCCCCACCCAACCAAGTCTCAGCAGACTGAGTCTTGTGGGAAAAGGCTTACTTCCTGGCAGGGTTTCAAGATTTCCACTGTGCAGAAACAGGAAACAAAATCAGCAGACAGAAAAGGAAGTTACAGAGCAGCTTCATGAGCTTTTTCCATTGAAACACATCTCCAAACACAGCCAAGGTATTTCAAATGCAAATTCAGGCTCTAGCTGCTCTTTTTATTAGATTACATTAGACTGCACTCAAACATCAGTAGACAGCTTGATTCTTCTTTGTTAGCCATCAGACTTGTTGCTTGCTGTCAAAATTCAGCTCTGAATCATACTTCCATAGGATGCAGTGCTGAGACAATGTGTAGCAACAATCACGTGACACTCCTGAGGGAAAAATTTGTCCTTTGAATTTCATATGTACCGATGGCATGTAAATGAGGGGGAGATAGGAACAATTGGATCCTGCAGTTAGTTGTGGTGCTAAAAAAATATTTTTTGAAAGAAATCTTGCTTAAAAATCCCCAAAACTCATGCTTTGCTTCCTTGCATTCTCACTGCTGTTCCTCAGTAACTCCCTTCCCCTTCCTCCTGTGTTCTGCTCAATCCCTTGTCTTCCCACAATACCTGTGTTTCCCCACAGATGTCTTTCAGCTCAGCCCTACCCCACACTGCCAGGTGCCTCCCATGCTCTCAGTTCCCATGTGCCTCACAGGCCCCAGCTCTTTTGTGGAACTCTCACAGTTCTGCTCTCCCTCCTTATGCATGCTCCAGCTGCTGGTTGCTCTGCAAGCTCCATGGCCACCATTTGTCTCTGACTCAAAGAGAAGGCAGCAGAGGCACTTATGCTCTTTCTCCCCTACTTGTCCATGAGGTTTGAATAAGGTGGTATCTGCAATTTCACCCCACAGCCAGCATCACCCAATTTAGTAAGCAGGTCCATGTGAACAGATGAAACAGTGTCATTGCACATGCCTTATTTCTTTTGAAAATCCAGCTGAACCTGAGGAGTTAAATTCAAATTTATAGGCAAAGAGTAGAACTCAAATCCTAAAGCTTTGACCCCATACATTCCAAAATCTCATTTTAAAACTGACCACAGCTGTGGTGGAAGCTGCAGGGAAGTAACACACTTCTTACAAGCCAGTTTGAATAGAGAGAGGCAGCTGAGGGAATTGAGATGGAGGCTTGTGAGTTATCACAAGTGACACAGAGGTTACACAGGAACATCACATTGGCCATCCAAATACCTACACCTTCTTTAGAAGATTTGACAAAAGGCAAAACGAAGCTGACATGACATGACTAAAATTATTTCCCAAAGGAATTATCAATACATTTTTCAACAAGCTGACCTTGCATCCAAACGAGGAAAATTGAAATGAACATGACCTCTAGTAAGTGCAAAACCATAACAAAGCAAAGGTGTCAGAACTTCCTTGTACCCTTTATATTTGATATATTGCCTTGAGGGCAACTGAAGAGCAGGGCATAAAATAAGCAGTCAGAGAGAACAAGGACATCAAAACAAAGCTAAATTAATTATTTATGGCACAATGGAATAAATTGGTGAAATTCATACACAAGAACCCTGGTTTGTGGGGACTACACCAAAGGATCTGTCCAAAATAAAAGTAACTGTGCAAAACCTATGGAATTAGCAGGTCTGGCCAATATGGTCCCAGGGATTCTCAGGAAATTCAAAGGTGAAACACTTGTTAATAGCAGTAGGTCACCTTTTGCCTTAAACTATCTTCTAATCAACAAATCCCAGGCAGGCAGGGAACATATCAAAGAAAGGGAAGAGAAGTCTCAGGGAGATTTAGGAAGTTAAAGGTTTGACATCTCTAGTGGTCAGGTTAATATAACAAAATAATTAATTGATGGACACGTGTATAAGTATGATATACTTTGGGGACAGTCAATGTAACTCTTGTAAGGAAATCCTGCCTCTTGTGGGTCTTTGCCTACAGTCCTGGCATCACCTACTTTTACGGCACTTGTAGCTAGCACAGACTTCCAGGTCACTTAGATAAAAGCCTAAACCAAGTCCAGGCTTTATATCCCTGTCCCTGGGTAAAAAGAGCATCAGAAGTGAAAATATGCCACCTTCTTGGTCTTCCCTCTCCACACCACCTTGCTCCTTTTCAGGGATTAAAACTATGGAGCAGAGCAGCCAGGGGAAGAGCATAAAATGGCACTGGAACACAGAGAATGGGGACCCAAGGCCTGACATTGAGCAGTTAATAAGGGATGTCAGATAACAAATCAAAGGGATTCAGGCAGCAAGACCTCCTCAAGAGCTCCTGAGGGATTTGGCTGGTTAGAGAGAGTCTAGCAATAAGGTGATCCCATTGTGTACCCTGCTGCATGGTTAGAGAAGTGAGGGGTGGGATGCTGCAGTTTGTACTCCTCCAGGGGACAGTGTGGGAGCATAGCAGCCTCCTGGGATCTGAGAGAAAGGCACCCTATGCCCTTCTCAGCCAAGGCTGACACAAGGCCAGAGCCACAGGGAAAAGATACCTCTTCTGGAAGGCAGTCAACCCCTTTAATGGTACAAGATGAACCAGGGTTCCATACAGGTTGCTAGGAGACCAAGGAAAAAATGGCTTTTATGGAGCTGTGAAAGCACAGGAAAGATATATTTGAGCATCCAGGGGTGAGGAGGAAACTTGGAAGTACTGAACGGACAGTGGGAAAGAGGAGTGAGAGCAATGAGTGGGATGGATTAAACAGAAGGTAGCACTGTGAAGCCACACAAGTTTCTGGCAGGTGGCAGCACTTCACCACAGGCAGGCCTGAGTTGGCAGAAAGACGGAATCCTGAGCAGAACCATCCAGCATGACACAAATACATTGCCAGAGATCAGCAGCTCCCCAAAATGCGATGGTTACAGTAGCATGCAGAACACAGGGGAACGAAAGAAAACTAGGAGTGACGAAAAGAAACGTTCCTCTCAAAAACAGCTTGTGCAATTCTCCCATGGCCACAGCCCTGACAAGTTTTAGTAAGTTCTAGTAAGTGCTGAGGGTTTCAAGCAAGGTTTTGGGACTTCATGTCCCAAAGTTACCTGAGCTGAGCGAGCTCAAACTCAGTGAGAATTGGGAAGGGTTAAGTCGTGTGCTCACTCTAGTGTGATGGTAGGTTACCAAAATCCCTCAGGTGTAAGGGAATTAATAAGAAAAGGAAGAACATGATCCAGAGAATCTTCAAAGAGACAAGAAGCCCCAACCTGCCTCTTCACATATAGCATTAACAGAAGATTTTCTTCAGAAGAGTGAAGATATGTTTTATTTATTTCCCCCAATTAACAGATTACTAAATCAAAGCCCAACAGAGGGCACATGCAGATGCAGTTACCTCAAAGCTGTGTTTTATGCCATTACTGGGAACATTTTACCTTTGTCTCCTTCCTCTTTTGGATCTGAGTCACAAGTCTCAAGGCTATAAATTGTTGGAGATCAGAACCAGATACTGCACTTGCTTGCCACAGCACCACATCTGACTTCAAACCTGGGCCAGATTC